CCCCCCCCCCTATGGAGTTCTGGCCATGTACAGATTCTTGTACCGTCTCCATTCAGTGTTTTTAGTTGACACTTGTGGAAATATATTCTTTGCGTACATGTAAACAAGAATGTCTGCGGAGTGCGTGATTGGGCGCGTGCGTGTGCGTGCACGTGTGTGTATGTTCTAACCATCATGATGTCAGAATGCGGTGTATCTCACCTTTTCACCTTTAGCTAAATCCATGACTTTTGCAGAGGATGCATTAAGAATTGGCGCACAGGTGGCTTCTGGCATGTTCGTGCAGCTTCGCACGTTTTGACATCTCCGTTCAGTCTGCCTGTCCCTCAGTACAGTGTATTTAGGAGCACTGGACTGGAGGGATCCTCAGTATGTCTGTCAGCAGACAGTACGCCGCCCGCTCTCTTCCTCGTCTGTCTTGAACCTGTTATATGGAAGTGTCTCGCTTCACTAACCTGCTTCGTGTCTGTTTTTTTTCTCTCTCTGTGTCTTTTCTCTCATCGTTTTCCGCCGTGTGCAGGTTTCTCTCAGCTCTGCAGCTCCCGTCGCGCCTTCTCTGAACAGGGCCCCCTTCGCCTGATCAAGAGTGCCTCTTTCTTTGCAGGTTTGCCATGTGCTATTGTGCGTGGTGCATGCTTGTCCTGTGTATTTGCATGCGGCATCTGTGCAGTCACCCACCAACCAAAGTATGATCTTGGTGTTCTCTTCCCCCTCACCTCCTTCTGATTTTGTCACACCATTCACACCCGGACCACCCCAACCCCCCACCATGAAATCCCCCCTACAGACCCCCCGGAATGTTTTCCCTTGTTACGGACCATGCACTAAGGGTGGCGATTTCTTTAAAAATAGCCTTCACTCAGTTCCTTCGGCCGTATCCGGGCCAGCAAATCACGGGGCTCCTCAGTTATGTAACCGCAGAAAGTCCAGCGCGGCTCAGCATGGATACATTACTGCGAAGCTTGTGTCGATTTTGCTCGTAACTCATGTCGGCATCGCAGAAGGGATAGGTTCCTTGGCTACAGCTTGAGTTCTAGGTGCTGGATTCGCACATTTTCTGAAATGTCTAGGAGAGCCTCTGGCTATGTGTGTGTAGGAGAGCAGTAAAAGTAACCGATTGCTGTGTAGCCCTCCCCCCCAGCCGTACTGCACTAGCGACGCGTGGGCTGAGGCGTAGGCTGCCTGGGGGGGGGGCTACGCGGAGTAAGAAAGCGCCTGTGTCTGCACGCCTCGCTGCAGCACTGCACTGGCCCCCCCCTACAAGCCACACTGGGAGGGGGGGGGCGCTGTCAGACCTCCCGGCCAGAGCTACTGTCCCACAACCTGTTCTGATTCCCCATTCCTTCTTTTAAAAGGGCCGACCACGCCGATGGACATGCCCGGCCGGGGCCAGTACGACGAGCGGGACAGCGGAATCGCCAGATCAGGTAAAATGAGCCCCCCCCTCTCTTGAAGGAGCGCCCCCTGTTGGTGGCTTTGGAGTCTTTCATCTCCTGCAACCTTGACTATCAGGTTACCATAGTTTCTCTACCTACTGCTCATAACGCTTGAACGGGTTACCTAACCAGGCTAGCAATTGACCCGGTTAAGTAATTATGGCTTTGAATTATCCACAGGCCCGAACGCTCTCGGGTTCACACTCACGTGAGGCTAGATTTGATTCCCACTGCTTGTATGGGATCAGGTTTGCCCCTGTGTCAGAAGGCGGTAAAAATGAGACAGGGTAGCTCACCGTGAGCGTTGGGGTCACACGGGGGCCGGTCGGCTCGTATCCATGCAGCCACTGCAGCTGCCTAGATGGCCGGCCGGCGCTCCGCCACACTGTACAGTGTGCCAGTGGCTTCTCTCTCTTACTGTCTTCTGTGCCTGGAAAATGTTGTGCAATGGAAACCGGACTCAGTCCCACAAACACGATGGGAATCTCATTTTCAGTCTAATGCATCACATGCAGGTGCTTAAATATAGACGCCGCTAAATGAGGGTCTAATTCAGTCTCTGTCGGTCCCCTTCGGCGATTCTCCCCGAGCCCATGTGTGAGCGTTACCGTTGCCGCCTTTCATCTGCGTTCACCAGCTAATCTGCCGCCGTAACCTGCTCGGGACGGATGTGTCTGGTTCGGCCAGGCGGGTCGCCCTCCTGTCCCCCCCCATCCATCTTCTGACAGTACAGATGGTCCCCTAATTAAACAGGAAAAACCGGTGGCTTGTGATTGGAGTGACTGTTGCATATCACGAGCGTACAGTGGTGTGGCGGTAGAGAGACTGAGGTAATGCTTTCTGCATGTGGAGCTCCTCTAAATGAGTAACGGCCACTTTTCATGCCTTCCCTGTCTCTACTTCTCCTTCCCTCCTCCCTCTTTCTCTCCTTTCACTCACTCTTTCTTCCCTGTCCTCACGCCACCTCTTATGATACCTCCCTCTACTCTCTCTCTCTCTCTCTCTCTCTCTCTCTCTCTCTCGCTCGCTCGCTCTCTGTACCTCCCCCTGTGTCCCCCCCCCCGTGGTGAGCCTGCCTCTCTGTCTCCACAGCCTCCCTCAGCAGCCTGCTAATAACCCCCTTCCCTTCGCCGGGCTCCTCGCTCACCAGCAGCTGTGCCAGCAGCTACCAGCGGCGCTGGCTCCGCAGCCAGACCACCAGCCTGGAGAACGGGGTCTTCCCGCGATGGTGCGCCTCCTCTCTCCCCAAGCCGAACGCGGGGCTTCAGTGTGCTGCCGCGGCACTTAACCATTCTTTAAATGAAATAATGAATGCCAGAGTGGGTCAAGCAACTAAATATAGACAAGTGACCTGGTTTTTGTGTAATATGTGGCCTACAGTCAGCTTTTACGGATTTCACTTTTCTTTGAAACTTATTCTAGGGACATTGACTATTAGGTCAGATGCTTTATTTGCATTTTTGCATGTGATTTGCATATAGAGTTTTACTTGTCACGCTAAGCTTAGGGCACACCCAACCCACCTTTGTGTGTGTGTGTGGGCAATATACATAAAAAATCCTGCTATTTTGACATTGTGGGAACCACCAACTCATAAGCTTATAAAAATATGTGCGTGCAATCAAAAAATTTATAATAGTCTTGTATTTTATTTGGTTACTTATGGTTAAGGTTAGGGCTGGGTAGTGGTTAAGGTTGTCATGATTAGGATTTTGCCCATAGAAATGAATAGATTTTGAGTCCCCACAAAAATATAAATACAATTTTGTGTGTGTGTGTGTGTGTGTGTGTGTGTGTGTGTGTAACAGGTTAGCGGAGGAGAGCTTCAACATGTCTGATGACAGCAGTGGTCCTGGCCTTGGGGTAGCCAGGAAGAAGAAGATCGCCATCGGCATCATCTTTCAGCTGTCGGAGGACGAGGACCAGAGCAGCAAGTTCCAGGGCTTCTTCTTCTCTCACTTCCCCCTCTTTGAGAGTCACATGAACAAGCTGAAGAGTGCGATCGAGCAGGTGTGCAGCCGTCTGCATTCACCGCAGTGCTCTACTGCAGTATAAGTGTGTGGAAATGGTTAGTGATCAAGGAGAGAAATTACAGGTCTGTGATTTCCTGCTTCTTGTATGTGTGTGCATACCTGACTTCATGCTGTTCTCTTACAAGGCCATGAAAATGAGTCGAAGGTCAACTGACGCAAGCCAAAGAGCACTGGCTTACAACCGCATAGTGGATGGGCTCAATGAATTCAGGTGCGTCTTTTGGTTTGGAGTCTCCTGGCATGGATTTGTTTCTGTTTGGAAACATATAAGAAACAGGCCCTCTCAGTCTATCGTGGGGTAATACTGGTTGGTATGGAAATGGTTATGATTGGCTTTAGGGTTTTTGCCTTGGCTTGGGTTAGGATTTGGGTTATGGCTCAGTTTAGGATTAGCGTTGGGGTCATGGCTAGTGTTAAGGTTATGGTTTTGGATCAAGTTGGCATTAGGGATGTATTTGCAATCAAGGTTAGGGTTGGAATATGGTAATGAATTTCTTGAGTGGGTGACCCTACCTGGCCTTTGTGAGATCCGCAGAGAGAGAGGAACATGCTTGTTTCCCTCCCCCTCCCTTGCCAGAGAGTATATGGAGCAGTATGTGTCTCTGCAGCACTGTCCACGTGCTCACAAAAAAGCTTCACGTTGCTGCAGTCATATGCCTGCTGGCAGGCTGCCACAGCAACTCGATTCCCGTCCGAGGAAACACTATCTCGTTTAAACAGTGTCAGGACTACCAGAATAGTAAATAATATTTTCGTGCCATCGGCAGGAATGTGATTAGATGGAGCAAACTTTATATATATAAAATATAAATAATATATATAAATTATATATAAATAAAACTAAATATGAATATTCATTGGATTGTATTTCGTAGAGCTTTTGAGATCTTCGACTATTCTAGAATGTGTGAGACTGGTTCCGCATGACTGTCGCATGTGTGAGGTGAGGGAACGACGAAGTGATATTCAGTAATGTAATCAGGAAGGATTCAGTCAGACACACAGGGCTTTTCAGACAAATTCTGAAGATTTCCATAAAGATCACCAGGCATGACGATAGACAGCGTTGTGGCCGCTCTGTAGTCAGCGCTATCCGTCTGCTTGCATGGGAAGATGTAGCTTGTTGCTCTTAGAACTTTTTGTAGCATATTCCAGATTACCCAAGTATTGAGAGTGTCTTTAGCCACGTAAATGGTTTGCTTTCCGAGAAGAGTTTTAGGGGTGTTTGAGGTAAGAGTGTATTATTCAGAGACGCGCACTCCACACCAGTATATCATGTCAGTGTACTGTATTCCGAGAAGGCCTCATTGACATACCTTGCGGTACTTAACCAGAAGTTTTTTGGCTATATGTTCTCCTGCTAAAAATGTGTAGTGCAAAATGATCACCAGATTTGTTCTCAGTGTATGATGACTATGAAGGCTCTACAATTTATGAATTAATTTTATTTATTTTTTACTGAAAATGGACACAACTACGTAATTATACAATAGGCATGTAAAATTCTGCATGGAAATTGTGAAAAGGTTGGGTTTCTTGTATCAGAAGTGGAACTGAAAGAATTGGGGATAACAGGACAAGAACATTAACACATTAATTTACTTATAGTGTGAGCTGTCAGGCTGCAGCAGTGAATAACTAAGATGTTGGGATATCACTTGTCTTAAACCAGTGCCAAGTGGGCTGTATATGAGGTGAGGGGGGCATCTCCATACTTCACACTTGGCCACTCAGAGCCCATGCGGTGATGTTTGCTCGCAAATGGTGGCTGATTTTCTGAATTTATCTAGCTGGGGTATTGACTGCTTTTGCTTTGAAAAAGGGGAAAGGGCTGTTCCTGCCTATGATGAGTGAATGAAATTGGGAGAACGTGCAGAAGAATAGTGTGAATATTTACAGGATATATATTTTTAGCATTAGCTATTTGATTTGCTTATTAAAATTTGACATAAATACAGAAGCATGGTATTAGTTTAATAAACAGAATTAAAGGTGACTTTAATCCTAGGTCTTTGTTTACACCTGCTGAAGTACATAAATCTCCTTGCTGTCACACTTTTTTTTAATTTTTTACTTCTGCCAAGATGAGTCAGACAGGTGTGGGTCTTGCGCTTATGCTGGACCTTCCTTCTGGCTGAGTAAACGGGAAGGCTGAGATCCATTTCATGGTACTGCCTTCCCGTGAGTCACCGGAGTACACAGGTCTGAAGGTCCCGCAGGATTGCTGCCGGACATCGGTGTCATTTAGCGGTCTGATGGTTTGGCTCAAATGAAGACGGAGCATTAGATCATCGGCAGCTGGTGTCCTTGTAGTTTCTTTGTTTATAAGGGATTGCGTCGCACGGCCTTGTATGGCATGTACCAGGTCTTCTTAAATGTCACTGTCTACTGTCAAGTCAAACGGTAAACCTGCTCATTTGTGTGCTTGAGAGGATTTGTGCATAAAATGGTATTCCCTGCTTGCTGAATAAACCTTGATTCTGATTCTTAAGAATTTATTTGGTGGTTTCAGTATGTGACCCGTTACAACCCCCCCCCCCCCCCCACAGTTTGCGCTCTAATTCGGTAGACAGTTGTGGCCCGTTTTTATTTAGTATTTGTCTGAGACCTTCGTAGCCTGACGTTCCCCACAGCATATGGACCGTGGCAGTTCAGAGGTGTCCCCCGCTGCACTGCTGAGGAGTGCAAAGGGCTGGATTTTAGCCCATTGTGAGGCCTGGATGGAATTTCCAGATGTCGAAATGTCACGGAGGGTGTCCCCCTCATGATCCCGGGGAGACTGTGTCCTCCTTGTTCGACACGACACAATGACGACGCTGTTCTCGTGCAGGACGACCATCTGCAACCTTTACACCATGCCTCGCGTGGGCGAGCCAGTGTGGCTGACCATGATGTCGGGGGCATCGGAGAAGAACCAGCTCTGCAGCCAGTTCATGAGGGAGCTGTCCATTCTCATGGAGCAAGCCTCCAAGAACCAGTTGAGTGAAAAGGAGACGAGCATTGAAATGCTCAGTATAAGTAATGCAATATATTATGTAGAGCTTTACTCATTTATAAGATCGTGAAAAAGATCATCACCCGAAATGTCATGGGGGAATAAATGTCTAGAGTATCCATGTTGAGGGGTGAGGAATCTGAACGAAGGATTGCCATACTGATGCCTAACCTCTTTGCTATTTATAAAGTAAGGACGTAAGCATGATGACCATATGCAGCGTGTCAGCGTGACTGTAGTAATCTGGAACCTTCTTGCACGCAGGTTTCTTCCAGCTCTGCTCACGGCCATCCTCACTAACCACTTGGCGTGGGTGCCTACGGTGATGCCCAACGGCCAGCCGCCTATCAAGATCTTCCTGGAGAAGCACTCCTCTCAGAGCGTGGACATGCTGGCGAAAACGCACCCATACAACCCGCTGTGGGCACAACTCGGTAAGATCCATATCACCTGAAATATTTCAGGCCATTCTGGATGGTGCTGCATAAGGTGGATGTGTATAACGGCATCCGCTTTGAGCATTAGCTTAGCAAGCATGATGACCACAACTCATAGTGGACTTGCATTGTAATCTGGGTGACCACTGTGTTTGAGCTTTCCCTTCTATTTGAAATTCACTGATGTGAAATGCAGCTAAAATCAATGTGTATCTCCCTCTGTTGGCCATATCTAAAATACTGTAATTGAACTGTACAGTAACAACAGCAAAAAATGTAACATGTAAATATTACTGGAGCATAGGGAATATTGATTATGCTCATTGTTAAAGGTAAGCAGGGATTTCCATAAGTAATAGGTTTTTAATTTGTAATAGATAACTCAAGTTGTTGACGGAAGAGAGGGTTGTTTAAGAAACTGCTGGTAGAGACACTTTAAAAAGTGCTAATGCTGTTCTACCAGCACTGTTTTATTGATTTGCCTTTTAAGGAAAACAGTGTGTTGATTGTTCAACTAGCCTGGGTATGTTGCGGTATAAATCTGAGGCCTGGCGGGTGGCCCAGTGTATAAAATGGAGGAAGTCCCTTGTAAGAGTGTGATGTGTGTGTGTGTGTGCAGGCGATCTGTACGGCGCGATCGGCTCGCCTGTGCGTCTCTCCCGGACCGTGGTGGTCGGCAAGCGGCAGGAGCTGGTACAGAGGCTGCTCTACTTCCTCACCTACTTCATCCGCTGCTCGGAGCTGCTGGAGACGCACCTGCTGGAGAGCGCTGAGGACGAGGCCATCGTGATGCCCGGTTCCCTCATCACCACATCGCTGCGCCGCGGGGAGGTGGAGGAGTCCGACTACGTCCTGGTCACCATGCACAAACCGCACGGCGACTACCCCGCTTCCACCGAGCAGGAAGCCGGGGGCCCCGTGGACGCCGGCGACGGGGGTTGTGTCCTGGACCCGGCCTCCACTGCTTTCCAAGAGGACGCCGTCCACCCGCCCCCTTGCAAAGAGAAGACAAGCCACTGCCCAGAAACCAAGGTGGAGATGGTAGTGTGCGTGGGCTCTGTGTCGGCCAGGGAGCCGGTCGCGGTACCAGTTGTGGAAGCAGAGGCCGGCATCATTGGCGAGGCCCTGGAGACCGAGAGGCTGCCCATCAACTACTTCTGTTCATCTGGGATACCGCTGGAGAAGAAACCCCCCGATAAGAGCTCGACCGACCACTTCCTGCCAGGCGACCAGCAGCCAGCCCCCAAAGTGACTTTCCTCATTGGAGATTCCATGTCCCCCGACTCGGACACAGAAATCCGGGGGAAGAAAGTCGAGGATCAAATCAAGAAGCACAAGAGGCACCTGAAGCAGCAGCAGCAACAGCAGCAGAGGGTGCAGAGCTCCACTGAGTCAAAGTGTGAGTCAAAGCCAACGTCAGAGGACCAAACTAAGAAAAACGAGGGTAAGAATCCGCTCCTGCATGTCTCTAGCAAAATGCCGCAGTGGAGCTCCTCCCACGAAGAGTGCATGGAACTGTTTGACGAGTACTTTAGTGACGATTACCCCGTGGAAACTCGGACTATTGACGATGTGTCCGGAACACAGGAATCAAGCAACACAGACAAAACAAAGAGCCAGCTTCTGGACCCATCGGGAGACTCTGCAGAAAAAGAGTATAGGATTGTGGGACAGAGGGACACGGGCAACGGCGGGTGTAGCTGTAACTCAGTGGGCGTAGTAGATAAAGACTTTTGTGAGACTTGTTCTACAGAGCAAGTCAAAGCCATTGTGATCTCTGTTACTGTCCCCCAAGGGGACACGGGGGACCTGAAGAAGGTTGCCCCCCTGAATGAGTGGGAAATACCCCGGAATGAGAGTTCGGACAGCGCACTGGGTGACAGCGAGAGCGAGGATACGGCCCAGGAGCTGCAGCGTCAGGAAGGGACGTACTACGGAGACGAGCAGGAGGAGTGGCTGGAGGAAATCGAGGTCCCCTTTCCGGGGTGGGTGCCGTTTGCGTCACCATTGCTAATTCGTTCAATTACGATATCCTACTTTTTTGAAAGAGCGGTTTGAGTCTGACATTTAACACTTTATAAATACTCTTGTTTCATTAGATCCAAACTGGTAGAGAATTACTCCAAGCCCACAATTGCCAACTTTGGAAGATCTCTTTTTGGAGGTTACTGTCAAACCTACGTCCCCGACTTTGTTCTGCATGGGATGCCGAATGACGAGAAGCTGAAGCAGTGCCTCATGTCGGACTTGGCTCACGCTGTGCAGGTAGCTGGGAGACCGGTCATCCCTTCTTCCTGCTGTGTGTTTTTCTATAATGCCAAAGACTTACGTTTGTGTATTTTATGGCTGTTTTTTTTTTTTTAATGCAGCATCCAGTGTTAGATGAGCCCATCGCAGAGGCCGTCTGCATCATAGCCGACACGGACAAGTGGACCGTGCAGGTGGCCAGCAGCCAGAGACGAGCTACTGACGGCAAACTTGGCAAGGAAGTACTGGTGTCCAACTTGGTGTCCAGTCTGCTCCATTCGACCCACCATCTGTACAAACTCAACATGTCCCCAAACTTTGTACGTTTGCAAGTATCTGGTTTGCAGGATATAACTTCTATAATGAATGCGCTGCTTTGATTTCCTTAGTCCAGAATGGGTTTTAAGCGGTTTGTGCATTGTATTCCGAAGGAGACTGAAAAATTAGTATGTGTCTCCCCCTTGTGTTTAATTGTGGAATAGCAGCAGGGTTGCTTACTGGCCAGTGAAAGTGGTGTCATTTTTGCTGCTGCTTGTACAGTGTGTATCTGCTCATTTTCTCCACAGTGCATCATGCACCTCGAGGACAGACTGCAGGAGCTTTACTTCAAGAGCAGAATGCTGGCAGAGTACCTGAAGGGCCAAACACGAGTTCATGTCAAAGAGCTGGGAATGGTGTTAGGGTAAGACTAAAGCTTTTTCTGACTGTTTGCAAACTGAATCTCAGATTTTTACCAAGCTGCTAATGGTTTATGCAAAAATTATTTAACCAGTTTTTCTCCTAATCCAACATGAATGTAAGACAAAATGGCCAATATCCACTTCAACAGTATAATAATATCAAAACTGTATAATGGTTGCATGGTGGAACCAATTAAGAAAATCTTAAATGTTTTATAGCTCATCAGTAAGTCTTATGGGCAAACTGCAGTCGATTTTCAGAAGTTAACTAAAAAGCCTTTAATTAGCCATCTTGTAGAAAGATGATGCAGTCGTGAGTACAGTCCTGCTGGAGAGGTGGTTGTGCTGATGTGATGTTAACTAGGGATGCAGGCTGTCCACACAACATTAGGTTTTGGTAAAATCTGGAACTATATAGCCAGAACTCTTAGGCGCTTTCACATGGAAGTTCCAGAACCTGGTCCCAGTGTACAAGTGCGTGGAACTTGGGCAATTGCCGACTGCTTCTGTTTATCTCTTTCACACCGCACAAGGAGAACTGGGATCTTTATGCTAAATGAGCATGGAAGATGCAAAAAGCTTGTAGATTAAACTTCACGTACAATTTCATGCGAAACTACGCCACCACAAAAAAAAAAAAGTTGTTCAGGTTTAATTCTTTACTAGACTATAAATGACATGTTCATGGAATCTTAGTGTTGAGCATCAATGGACATAATACCCAGGATTTAAAAATGAGCACTGGTGATAGTATTGTGGTTTAATGTTTTCCACCCCCTGTTTTCTAGCATCGAATCCAGTGATCTCCCCCTATTGGCAGCAGTCGCAAGCACCCACTCACCGTATGTGGCCCAGATACTGCTCTAGATGGCCCAGAGCCACCCGCGGTGGAAAACCAGTCTAGAACCAGAGGACTATCAGGAATACAGCGCTGGTTCTAAGTGAGCGTGCCCAGCCCAGCCCGGAGTGGCACGGCAAGGCATGGCTCGGTGTGGACCGGCCAAAGGGTAGGTGGGTGGTCTCAGCTGGTCCTGCTGCAGCTCTCGGCGCCCTAGAGGCAGGGCTGTCCCAGGAAAACGGGGCCCGGTGCCAGGCGCCACAGCACCCACGGCGCAGCAGACGCTGTCTGTGCCTGTACAGACTGAAGATTTACAGAGACGCTCCCCCCAGCGTGGAGGATGTTCTCCTTTGTTTGAATGTTGTACTGGTATTTTGCATCTGGAATGCTTTTTTTTTTTCTCTTGACAATCCAGGAAAAACGACAGATTTTTTTGGTCTTCTTCCTCTACAAATGCAGATAGTACAGTCAGACCTCAGACATACGCGAGGTTAGGTTCCAGAACCCGTCGCGAATGAGGAGGATTCACGGATGTTTGGTAGAGTCACTAAAAATGGTAATATGTGCTTATGTCTATAGTTTAAACCCTAAATATGACCTCAGTCGTGCTCCCAAAACACTTTAACTTCATAGTACAGTATCACCTAACGGATTTTTATCACAATAGCACGTTTACAGTACAGTATACTAATGTTACCCCTACTAATTCATAGAACACGGCATTGGCTGCCATTTTCTTTTGCATCCACAGTAAGGTAAAATGAGTAAACAAATGGGAGTGTAAACTTATTGACAGAAGTCATATACATAACCAAGGTACAATTCAATAAAATACTTAAAGGAAACATGTACTGTATGTACAAGGTACAGGTATTCAATCAATTAATTACATAAAGACGTACAGAAATAAGTTGTAAAAATACTATGCGCTAACATGAAAAAGAGAACAAAAATACATACAGATTAAAAATATTTCATAAAAAACAGTAGAATGAAATTTTCGCGGATCTGTGAATGCAGGAGGGCTGACTGTACAGCCATAGGAAAAAAAACGCTACTTAAAAATAACATTCTGATGCTACAAATACCTAAAACAAGTCCTCGTTCATACCCTCTATTCTTTTTATGTTATTGTTTTAATGATCTCTTAGTTATTCTGGTCCCTCAGTATCTGTGTCTGTTAGTTAGTTAATGCACATACCAATTATTAATGTGCAGAATGGCAATGGCATACGCATCTGGAAAAGCCCCAACCAAGAGAGGAAATAGAAATTGATAGTTTTGATGGTGCCGGTGGTAATTTTACAGCATTGGTTCTCACAGGCACAGACCTACCTCAGATGATTTAGCTGGTGTCTGTCAGTACTTGCTTAGTTGTCTTAGCTTGCTTAAAAGGGAAATGTTTCTCATTTAGTTCTGAACCATAAAACCTGTTGCGTACAAAAGGAAAAAAAAAAAAAGCACGATACAGTCGTCTTTTAGAAGAACACTGTCCAGAGTAGCAGCCCAAAAGAACAGAGTCCTTTCCCTGGGTAAATAAGGAAAGGTAAATTTATTTCATGCCAGTAAGTGAAATCCCTCCCTTCTCACTTACACTATGTTTACTGTTCCAAAGGATGCATGCTTCAGAAAGCTATTGAATATACCAGCTAACAATTACATGTTTATCAGTTGTCTTTGTTGCACCTTCTGGGGGGAAGTGGAGAAAGATTTTAAAGCACAAACATGTTTTTCATTCATAGAAACAAACATCAAAGGGCCATTCGAAATGAGATTTTATTTTTACTAATATTTGCAGATATTTCTACCATTGCATAAATACATTGTAAAATACATTGTATGCTGTTATTTTTGTGTCTGAGAGTAATGTCATGTGTCTTGAGTCTTAATTGACATGAGGCATGAAAGAATGAGATTACTCAGATTTTGCTAATGATGCTTTGCTATCGCTGGAATTACGCCCATTACATTTTATAAAATGTAAAGATGGTTTCTCTTATTCTGAAGTGTGTGTGTGTATGTATGTGTGCGTGTGTATGTATGTGCGTGTGTGTGCACTTATATATTTATTAAGTATGTTGAGTAATGGTTTGTCAACTATATGTACAGAAGAAAACGTACAGTCTTTAAATTTGCATTCTTTTTTCCCAATTTTATGGGAACGTTGTGCAATAAAGAAGCCAATGTTGCATATTTCAGTGTCTTAAAACAATGATTTGTTTATCCACTCAATCGTTTCATCATCTTTATACTGCTTCCAGTGAGGGTAGTGGTGGCAGCATGCAGAGCCGGCCAGAACACACTCCCTTTCCAAGGCCTCAGACTCTGTGGGATCCCCTGCTGTTACCAAAACAGCTTGGATGTATAATCTCCCCAATAGTTATCTGCCCTGAGGCCCCCGCCCAGTGGGATATGCCCAAGAGTTCCCTTAGGAGCTGGTCAGGTGGCTTCCTCATCCTGTCACTGATAGAGAAGATCACAATAAATTTCCTGTGTTGGGCATTTCCGGTCCAGGAACTACAAATCCAGACCAAGATTTTGTTTCTACCAACCAGTTAAGCATAAAGAGTCAAAGTCACAGAGTACTCACCTTGAAGGTAGAAACGAAATCTTGGTCTGGATTTGTAGTTTCTGGACCTGAAATAGCCAATACTGTGTGTTTCAACTTGGCACTCTTCCCAGCATAGCTGACAGAACACTTTATTGCTCAATATCTGTCTTTATACAGTCACTATGTTGCTGATGCCTTTTATGTTTCCATGTATTGTTTTGCGTTATTCATACAGAGTAAACTTTTTAAAGCCTGGACGTAAAGCAAGGCCAACTGCTTCCGTACTTTAAACGTAGCAAACTGAATCCAAAGTGGAGTTGGATGTTAAAAATAGGAGTTAACTGGAAACTCTTGGTAAACTCATTTCAAACTCTTTCAGTGTAGTTTCAATCCTGTATATAGTGAAAGGTATTTTGGAGAATGGACTATTGGAAAGTAAATCCTGCACTGTATCTTCTACATTGTACCAAGCATTTAATTTTTTTGGGTACAGAAAAATGCTTTTAACATCTATTTTTGTTAAGTAATGAACAATTCCACAAATTCGACTAACTTTTATTTGCCAGCAGGAACATGTACTGGAATTTTCCTAACTGGCATTCTCACTCTTTAAAAAAAAAAAAAAAAAAAAAATTCAGCCTGAATTTCCTGCCTTGGAACAGCATCCAGTCGTACAAGTACTTTTGGTGTGTGTGTTGCCCAAGAGACAAATTCTCAGGAAAATCTTGCCTACTGATTTATGTAAATGCATTGGGTTGTAACGTACAATGGTAATTAATTTCCAGTAAATAGTGCTAACTACTGCTTTATGGTATCAAGGTGATTGTGTATTTGCCTTTCATAAGAATAATTCAATAATATATCTTGACTTGACTAACTAAAGAGCTGTGCCAAAGTATTCCCCCAGAGAGATGTCTGTAGATGTCTAAATAGGTCCAGGAACACTTATGTGTAGGTCATTACTAGGAACTCTTAGAGATGAACTGTCAAATTCTGACACTTTAAATCTCCCTGAACCAAGTTCACTTAGTTCTCGTGATACTCCCACGTGCAACATGTGTTGTCCTGTTTTGGCAAACCATTTACTGGAATACATGGCGGATATGTCCCGCTCGTGTAAATGGTGATGGCGTGGAGATCGTGGTGTTCACCTCCCTCTCCCATGACCTACAGGCTCACAGATTGCAAAACTGCAATCTTCTCACTCATGATAGTGTCTTCAGTTGACTTAATGACCCTGGTGTTTTTGCAAACCCAAATGCATCCCCTTTGGCCTTTCCAGGATGCTGTTCTTAAGTGTGAGCTAATACTCATCCAAGACAGTTTACAAGTGTATCTGGGGAAGGCTAAACTAGCATATTTCTGCTAAGTGTGTAGTTTCGGGAGTCTAATTTTCAGTGCTTGATCTTTGTATTATACTATATATAGGGTTTTCTTTTGTTTGTAAAAATGTTCTTAAAATCCCTCTAAATAGCACTAAAGTTTCCTACACAAAATTGGTGGCCATGTCACAGGAATATATGGAAGCCTTTCAAAGTTCCTGATCTGATATTTTAATAAGCATAAAAAGCTCTTTATTTAAGTATCGGTTTAGCGGTACCTGTATTATCTGCACGGAGGAGGAAATGACGGGAAAGAAAATGTGAAGTATCACGCTTGAATAGCAGGTAGCTATTAAGGACAGTCCTGTAATCTCGAGGTTGTTGCCTCAAGTCGCAGGAAGGGCTTGCTGTTGTACCTTGAGAGTGGCGTATAATTAAGTTACTGATTCCCCCCCCCCCCCCCATGATAGTTCCTACTTGCTGCACTTCAAAAATTTGCCCTATTCTTATTTTTTGCAACACCATTACATATACATCCTCTTTGACATACCCTAACAAATGAAGTAGCGGAGATGACCGGTAATGTTTGCGTGTATGTTTACCATGCAACAAACCTGAATTTGAAGCGGTGATGTTTTTGTTAGCCCTATATATCTGTGATGTTAACTGACCCTTCTAAATTGACTTGACATAACCTAAAAGCAAGGTGTAGCAATGTCAGAAAGCTTACTGTCTGTTCACTAATGATCTATCAGTGCTGGCTCAGTAGGATGAGGCTGCTGGGCTTAAACGGAAATGGACCCATCTTTGGCCTAAACCCAGAAAGCCCTCATATTTTTATTTACAAGTTTGTAGTACGTGAGTTTAGCTTGAATTCCAAAGTTAGTTCTTTGCAAAATTCTCTTCTTTACACAAAACAAACATAAGTAAACTACAAGAAAAATGATGCTTGATAACCTCAAATTAAATCTTTGGTAACATAAAAGAATTTGCTTTATTACCAGTGTTGGGAAAGTTACAAAAGAAATCCATTTACAGAAAGAGGGAAAAGTTCAGGTCCAGAAAGTACAAATCCGTACTAAGATTTTTTACAACCAACCAGTTGAGTATTAAGAGTTAGTCACATAGTACTCAACTGGTTGGTTGTAACAAAACCTTAGTACGGATTTGTACTTTCTGGACCTGAACTTTTCCCTCTGTCTGTAATGGATTACTTTTGTGAGTAACTTTTCCAACACTGATTATTACACATTTCATTTTAGCACATGACACAATACGCTCAAAATTATCTTATTACTCCTAACTCTCCGCAACCTGACAGCGAGGCGATGAATACATCTCCGTAAGCGGTTACTCACATCGTAAAACGTGCCTCTACCAATGTTACCGTGAGGGCGTATGCCAGTCCATCTCAGGGCACTCATTCATACACCATGTGCAAACTAGACACCAGTCAGCAAAACTACATCTATTTGGACTATGAGAGGAAAAATCCGTAAGACATGGGAAACACGTACGCAGAGCGGGGGCGGGATTCGTTCCCACGCCCGGGCCACCGTTCCGCCCTATTAAAAGTCATTCAAGTAATATTTACATAGCTGGCAAACGCGGAATCGGTTCGCGTCAATAGCGCCAACTTCTCGCGAGATTTTAGAAGAACGTGGTTGGATTATAAATGCTGCCTGTTGAGCTTATGCCTGAACACCACTGGTTTAGTTTTCCCAAAGTGTAGTTTCAATACGCTATACAGACAGAAAGGAAAAATGGTATCCCTGCTGCACAATAATTCAATTATTCCTATATTAAGGCATATACAAATGATTTACATGCTTGCTTTGAAGCAAGTACATTTAGTAGACGGAGTCGGGGAGGGTGTGTTTTGTCAAAGTGGAACAATATGTACCGGTTAGTTCTGCAGAGGAAAAAAGCACCACACCAGAACAGCAGCAAAAAAATGTACCACTTGGGCCAAATCGCGGCTCTTCGGCCATGTGACCCAAACATGTGAAAAAAAAAAAGTTATGATTATCCACAAACTCCGATGACGTTAAATCAGGAGGAGCCGCGCGTCCCGGCGTACTGTGGGTTGGGAGAGTCCGGCGATGCTCCAGCTTCTGATTGGACGGGCCGCTCCTCCCCCCCCCCCATGCGGACCAGAGCGCGACTGCTTTGCGCGCGTGCCGCACAGCTGGCGTCGGTTCTGCGCTCCACCTCGGGACGGCGCGTCTCCCGGAGTCACTAAATAAGGGAAAAGGGAGGGAAAGACAGAACCTGAGGAGAAAAAAAAGTTTTCCGGGATGAGTCGCTTTTTGCCTAATGATGTTCTGCCGCGCCGGCGTTCCTTGCAGTGCGCTTGGTTTCAATTTCCATAGCTAATTCCAGCTGTGTCGTCGCCGAAATTGTGTAGCCAGCAAAGCTAGTAAGTTTCGGGAGGCGGAGGAGGTGGAAGCCTGCCTGTGTCTGTCTGCCTGGATCCATGCTCGGCCAAGGGAAATCCTCCGGATGGGAGCTCAGCACTCTCAAGCCGAGCTTTGGCTGACGGACTGAAGCGACTTCGGGGAAACCTCGCCGGCCGTGGAGTACGTGAGGAGGACGATGACTTCTCAAGTCGACGGCTCATTCAGACGAGCTTTGAAGAAGCCGCCGCCGCTGCGGACGGCCGAGGTAACGCATGCTCCCGGTTAACTCCGGCTCGGTTTAAGTAAGAGTTAAACGCCGTGGAGGGGAGACCATCAAAATATCTGGGACTAGGGCTTTGCTGCGAAGGCTGTTACCGCCTTGGATGTGAGGGGGGAAAGTCGTGCGCTGTTAAACTTGTGAGTACCCGGCTCCCGGATCTGCTGAGTGTCACTGAAGTCGGCGGCAGGTCGTTGGTTCCGTCAGGATCACTATAGCTGATGCTCCGGGGCAACGTCGCTGAAACCCGACAGGTAGACCCACGCCCTGCCAGGTGTTAGTGGATATACGGGGGCACCGCCAGGTCTCGGAAACTTTGACAGATGCAGACGGTGAACAGTAACAGAAGGCAACAGTTAGCTTATGGAAAATTATTATTATTATTGGCATTACTTCTGTATCCACCCGGACGCTCGCCTTACCTGAAGTGTCATGACGTGTGCAGTTTTTTTTCTCTCTTTTTTTTAATCGCTTTCCATAAAGAAATGCCGGCGAGTCTGATGACTTTGATAACGCGTGATCGTTTGACCCGTGGTTAAAAGTGGCTTGGTGGCATTACACAGGCAGGAATTTAAATAATGATTTATGGAAAAAAAACACGTGTTTTACTTGAAGCCTAAGTAAACGTGCCTTTGCTGTTTATTCAGAAGTAAATCACTGTCTTTCCCCTTTGAAAGAATGTTGTTGAGACAGCTTAGACGGTTTAACTTGTGCCACTCTTACAGTGTGAGGTTGGCCGCGGATCTGGAGCGGTTCGGTGTCGGTGAAGTTGTGTTCTCCCACCAGCCATATGGCTTCACTTTAGCAACTCAGGACGACTTCTCGTTCGTCATGGATGCATTTTTTTTCCTTTTTTAGGGAGGGGTTATAGGGGCTTGTTACTTAGAAGGGAAACATGTTAAATAACGTCTAGTGCTGAGGATATATGGTTTTCTAATAGTATGAGTGGAATATCTGCGTTTTGATCACTTACCATTCAATTAATGTCAGCACGTTTCACAGACTATGGGACTGCACTGACATGCCCTAGTCCAGTGCGGTATTCTGGTAGAGGATGTCTTGGAGGTGAAATATGCTATACTGTCACCGCACTGTAAAACGCTGAAAAGAACGTTTGCGTCTCTATATATGTGAAATATTGTACATAGTGCAATTAAGTATTATATCGGTGCTGGAAGTGAGAGAGTGAAGCAGTTGTAATGTTTAACTTTATTTTCTAGGGTGATCATTTAGAGCAAAAAGATTAAATCCTGCTGAATAATACCGAGCCCTGGAATCACAGCACGTTTAGCGCTGGACTCGTCTTCTTGTATTGTATGTAAACACTTAAGGGTTGTGGTGTAAGCATTTAAGTGGAATACATGGACCTTCCATAGTATGACTCACAAGCCTGTTGGAATGGCGATGGTTGTACGGTTGCACAGAATGAAATTACAAAATCTATATAAAAAATAGGAATCATTTGTTGAAGTATTAAGCTTTAAAAATAAATTTTGCTGCCATACTTTGCACGTTTTGATTTAATTTAGATTTTTCGTTTTTACCTCATGATTCATTGTTGGCATATCTGTGTTTAGGTTTTATCTAATTTGACTTTTTGTTGTGGTATGGGTGTGACCAGAAGTTTTCCCTTTTATAAAGGTAGTGGCTGACTAGGTAATACTGCGTGACAGGAATGTGTGTGTGTGTGTGTGTGTGTGTGTGTGGTTTTTTTGTTTTCAGTCTAGAGTTTTTACATTTCGTTTGTGGCAAAATAACTTGTTAAATGGGATACATGTGAGTTTTGACTCTTCTTTCCTGAGCTGTAAAATTCTGTGATCATTCATTGTTGCACTTCCTAATAGTTTATAGTGTTATTTCGGTTAAGTATTCTATAGTTTTACTGACATTCCCTCCAGGGTCCCGAGGCTAGACCAGTTAAGAGCTACTGATGTACTGGATAAGCAATTTTGAAAATGTCTGTGCAGTATAATTCTCACAGACACACTGTTTCACACCTGCAACTTCTGTAGAGGGATCTTCCTCCATTTTTAATATACTCTATAGTCACTTTTGGGGACCTAAGCCTCATTGTTTAGTAGCCCTGTACTAGACAAATGCATCAGTAAGCTTCCTGACATTAGAAATGCATTTTGTCATCAAATCCTTGATTGTTTGTTTATTGGACCCTTCCTGAGAGAGCTCCAGTTGGTGAATGTAGCATTAAACTGAGCTCATTCTCTTTGACATCTTTCCACTGATCCCAACATTTTGTTTGATCCAGGTCATGTACCTAGTTGTAGTATAACATGGGTATTTTTCCAACATAGTTTTCCAGCATTGTACTTGTCCCAGTCTAGTGTGCAAGACTAATCAGTGGAAATTATACTTATTTTAAAGTGTTTTTTAAATTGTGAAGCATTGTCAACATAGAATTTGCAGACGGTTTCTTCTACATTTGACTTCCAAATGGATGGGGACATGACTTGGTATTAATGTTGGTATTGAAAATAAATAATTAAAAAAAATTATTTTCAAGCACAACAGAGATCTGTGTGACATGGTTTAAATTATTGGACAGCAGACTTCTGGTAAAACAGAATTGTCACACATTGTTATAGGGACCAGTTAGCTTGTCCTAAGGGCAGTATTATAAGTTGCGCTCAGAATAATGTGATGGAACACTAGAGGAATGCTAGAATGGATTCAGCAGTTGACTTGTTTCGATTAAAGTATTGATTCCACTGACTTGCCAAGATAGCTATAGCATGTGTCCCTATTTAGAGCTGACACTAAATGCGTCCAAATCTGGCTGTATTGCTGTTTAAATCTGTTGCTAATAGCTGGAAATACATCAGAATGCTACACCATTAGAATTTTTTTGACCACAACTGCACAGCTCACACTTAATCTAGCTATGAGCCAATGTGGGAGTATTCCGTCGGGTAAGTGAGGGTATTCCATTATTCTGGGGATTTTTCTTTTGGCTATTCTTGGTGTTGTAATATTCTCTGTCTCGACTGGGGCGTTTTCTGTGAGCAATGTTGTTGCCTGTTTAGTGTATCATTATCAGAAGCATCAGAATTTTGTATGTGGCAAACTGCCCGTTTTGAAGAATAATGTGCTGTCTTGGCCATATTCACAGTTCTGTTAAATCTCGAGTTCCAGATTTCTACCAAAAACCAGAGTAAAATGGTAGCACTGTACAGCCCTTTGCTGAGGATTGTGAAACTACAATAACACCGAAACCTAAAAATAGTTGTCCCTTGCTTTATTATTTAGTGGTTTGAAATTGTATGCTTTGCTCATTCAGTGAACATGCTTTCTGACACCACGTGAGAGTGCAACAGAGCCTTGCTTGTCTTCTTGGTTAACATTCCAAAATGGAGTAAGCAGTATCAGTAGGTAACAGTCCAAAAACTGCCTGCATTATTTTTCCAGCTGCAATTTATTGGTAAGTCAGTCTATTGCTTATAGCAGTGACTTTATTTTCAGAATATGCATATAAGTACAGCAATAATAGGCTAGGAAACACAGTATTCTTCCTCTGGACATCCTTATGTTAAACTGCTTGTTTAGCCTTTGCTTTGTAAGATTGTTTCTTTTTTTGCACCTGCGGCATGGGGATAATAGTGAACGTGTAACAAGCTAGGATCATTTGTCTGTTAAGACCCTCCAAATTCCCTCTGCTAGATTTCTGTTTGATGGCAACATGATGAATTAGTTTAGGAATTAAGCCACAGGCAAAGGTTGGGCGTGTGGCAGTGTTTGAGGTGTGATATGGTCGACTTGACCTTTAGGTCAGAAACAGCTTGTAGTTGGAACTTTGCAAACAGTGTTATCTGACATCCACAAACATTCAAGCGTTTTCTCCAAACTCTCTTACATCTTGACTTGGGTTAACATTGAGTGGCACTTTGGCCCATCTCCGCCTTAAGAAGAGATGAAAAAAATGAATCCGTGGAATGCAGAGAACCCTTGAAGTAAACATGACCTCCTGCTGACCTGCTATTTGAAAGTGCTCTCGTGTAGCTTTAATAAAGTCCCTACAGCCTCCATGAAGGAAAACCAGTTGGTTCAGTAGTTTAGTGGATAATGGGCATGAAATTGCAGTGAGGGTCCCTTTAGTGTCACACTGTCTGTCTGAACCTTGGGCACCAGCCCCTTATCAATGTTGAGCAGACATGGCTACAGTGCCCACAGTTTTCTGGGCTGCATCTGGCACGGATTACCTATCACATATTGATTTTCTTTTTTGTACCTTTTCTTAATACAACTACTGAGGCACCCATGGACGTTAACAGATCACTTTGTGAATGGATTTCTAAGTCTGTTGCTCAGAATCTTCCAGGGATCTCAAGTAATCCCCAAATAACATTGTTTTAAAGATAATGTGGCACCACTTTACAATAAGGCTTCCCTTTTCCACTTGTAAATGGTAGTAACTCATAACACAATTTTCTTTTTATTAATAACTTAAAATTGTCTAATTATTATGAAGTGTTACAACCTATTTAATAACCAGATTATAAACCGTTCATAAACCCTTTATATGGGTAAAGTGGAACCGCTAATGCCAGAGATTATCTGGAGTGCATACGTTCTGTGGCCTCTGATAGGTACCTTTGCACAGTGCTAGATAGGGGTGCTTTTTTTTGTCTCCAGGCCTGCTTTTAACCATGGTTCTCAAGACATCTCTGAATGGACTTCTACACACTGCTGTTGTACCGTGCTGTTATTTTTGCACTCATGACCTTCCTGTTAGCTTAAACCAGTCTGGCCATTCTCTTCTGACTTCCCCCATTAACAAGGTGCTTTTGGCAACAGAACCACCGATGACTGGCTAATCGTTTTTGTTTATTGCTTGATTCTCTGTAAACTAGTCACTGTGTGAAAATCTGAGGATGTCTGAGATGCTGCCACTGATTATCACACCATATTTAGAAATTACTTAGATAATTGTGTGTTAGTCATTGGAAGTTTTGGTCACCCAATATGTGTTAACGAAC